TCTATTAATAATGAAGATTTATGAAACACGGGGGAATTTTAAAGGGAAAGGTAGAAGTAGACATTTGTGAAACCAGTTAACTCATCAAAAATTAGATTATTGATCTACTTCATTGTTTTGTATTTTGCTACATTTTATAGCTGCTGCAGGGGGAGTTAAATTCAGTGTTTTGAAATGAATATGCATATTAGGGTGCTGGGTTAATATTATGTTAGAACTCCTTCCAGGCTATTAAGACATAAAGAGCATGACAGAAGGCTTTGGAAACCTAGCTTTGCAATAAGATCTGAGAGCTGACTTATGATATGGCCTTGGTGTTATAATAATTTAGCCACGTCTGCAAAACCAGCCTTGAACTCCTCCAAAGATACGGGGAGTTGAAGGTTGTACCACATCTTATTCAAAAGGTAGTTTTCTTTAGATTGTCAATAAGGTCTCGAATGTCAGATTATAATAGTAGATCTTAAAGCCTTACATTATACTTAAAGCTGAGGTGGATATTCTGCATACAATCCTTATTTTTAACTACTAAAAATACTCCTCTTAGGGCGAAACTTTTCACACCAACGGTTAACTTTTCAAAAAGCTGGGCTCTGCTTTGTGGGGTGCAAATAGTGTTATGTGAGCAGCTAAGTACCTTAGGGGGCCTGAAAGTACCTGCATGAACCAAACTGCACTTGCAGTGAAATACGGGCAAAACTGCAAGTGTGAAAACAGAGGCCTGACAAAGGCTTCGCTTTTTGAATGGTCTTTAATCCGTTTGAAATTGAATTTTGTTTTTTGTAGGGTTTGACGAACTGTGTGTAGATTTGGGGGAGTTTTGGCCATTCTGAGTTACCAGATGGAAAATGAGCAGAACCCTTAATTTATAGATGCTTCTTTTGTTTTCCACGTCACTCCATTTTAAAACCGGCAACTCTGTGATGCCAGGAAGAATATGGACTTTTCCTGTTAAAATTTTATTTAAAAGTCAGAGGTGCTTGGGCTAGATCATGCCTGCCAGGCATGGCCCAGGGATAAAACAGATTGCACTGCTGCAAAGGGAAAGCCCCAGGATGCCTCCACCAGCTACTTGTCGAGCAAAGGGAGCACACCCGCTGCTATATTCCTTATGGGCTGCAGCTTACTCCCCCTGCTGCATCAATATGGTTCTGCAGGCCAGGGCTGAGAGTGATAGGTTGTGCATGGTCCCCAGAGGGGAAGGAAAAGGACAGCCCCTGCACTCTTCAGAATTCTGCCTGGCCCTTATGTAGGCTACACAGCAGAGGGGGAACACCTCCATCCCACTTAGTTTTCATATGGTTCCTCCATGTAAGTTACATCAGCTTTGACTCCCTATAACACAGGCAGTAAATAGACCTAAGGGAGTCTAAGTTTGGTGTATGGGGCTTATGTAGCCTTCATTACCTTATACACAGGGACCTACCACACTCACAGCTATGAAAAACGCATCACGGGACCATGAAATCTGGTCTCCTCCTGTGAAATCTGGTCTTTTGTGTGCTTTTTCCCTATATTATACAGATTTCATGGGGGAGACCAGCATTTCTCAAATTGGGGGTTCTGACCCAAAAGGGAGTTGCGGGGGGTGGTCACAAGATTATTTTTTGGGGGGTATTGTCACCCTTACTTCTGCACTGTCTTCAGAGCTGGGCGGGAAGAGAGAAGTGGCTGAAGGAGTGCCCCGCCAGAGCAGCACAAAAGTAAGGGTGGCAAGACGATACCATGCCAGGCCACCCTTACTTCTACGCTGCTGCCTTCAGAGCTGAGTGGCGGGAGAGTGGCAGCTGCTGACTGAGGGCCCAGCTCTTCAGGCAGCAGCGCAGAAGTAAGGGTGGCATGGTATGGTATTGCCACTCTTACTTCTGCGCTGCTGCTAGCGGTGGCTCTCCAGCTGCCCAGCTCTGAAGGCAGCACCGCCGCCAGCAGCAGCACAGAAGTAAGGGTAGCAGTATCCCCTACAATAACCTTGTGACCCCCCCCCCACCCCACCACAACTCCTTTTTTGGGTCAGGACCTCTACAATTACAACACCATGAAATTTCAGATTTAAATAGCTGAAATCATGAACTTTATGATTTTTAAAATCCTATGACCGTGAAATTAACCAAAATGGACCGTGAATTTGGTAGGGCCATACTTATACATCATCTTTGCCTTGGCCCTCTGGATATATCGACCTATCGTCACTCTGTGTAACTAAACAAGCTGCACTGGCATAATGTTTATTTCTTGCTTATGTCTCTGGCAGACGGAAGGTTTCAGGTACCCCAGGCCTTCATCAGTACCACCATCGCCTTCTGTCTCTCAGCATTCCAGCCCTCATCATAGCGAGGATGAAGATGAGGATGAAAGATACGACGAGGATGAAGAGGCCGAAAGAGACAGACAAAACATAAAGTCACCTTTGTCCCTTGGAGCACTGCCACAAAGAAAGAAAAAGCAGCATGGAGAATATAGGAACTGAATTCCTTTGCTGTCACCGCAACATGGTCTTTATCCGCTAAAGAGCATCCAAGTGTAGGCTAGTCAATCTCTGTGTTAAGGGCAGTGCAGTGTGGTTAGGGAATCTTAAACAAACATTACTTGGGTTAAACTGTTTGAAAACCTAATTATATTTTACCTTACAAGTAAATGGTAATTCTCCTCTCTGCCTTGGAGGTAGAAGAAGAGATTTTTCAAAGCTTATTTAACCTAGAGAATGTGATAAACTCCGTGTGATAGCTCCAGCTCGATTGCGCATACTGTAGATCATATTTTTGTCTGTATAATTATTTGAACTTAGTTGTAATCCATGAAGAAAGGTCCATTATAGTCATTCCAAATGAATACCTACTCCCAGCCCTTCCTCTCCCCTTGCAAAGAGACACCACCTTTGAGCCCTGAACTGGAACATTTTGAAGAAATTGTTACCAGGGAAAACCTTGGCAGAGTTTAAAAAAAAAAAATGTTGAAAAGAAAATGGTTTGTTTTTTTCTTCTGCTGTTTCTCTTATTCTAAATCTACATCATTTTAAGAATTTTTTTAAAGCGCTCAGAAATGTCTTGGTGCTGTTTATGGAAAAATATCTGGTGTTACTCCATGAATATTTGCATTTTTAGGTGAAGTCATCTTATGGAGTTGTCTAGAGCCACAAAAAAACAGCAGACCACTTTTTTCTGGTTTCTTTTGAATGCTCCATTTTATTGCATTTTTACTCTCTCCGCTGAAGTTTGTTGATAAAGTTTGGGGGGAAAATTCATGTGATTTGGCTCAAGCAAGCTATAAAATTCCTGAAAATGCTTGCTTCTGTGACTAAATCCACATGTCACATTGTGATAGGATAACATTGTCTCAAAAATCTAAATTTAAAAGGTGATGACCTTAGCTCTATCTGTTAATGGGAAATTTCCAGGACAAGATGACCTCCTATAGAACTGCTTAAGTTAGCAGAGCTTATTAGTTAGCTGTGGTACCACCCGAGACAACTGAAGTCAGGGTGCTTTTGTGCTGGACATTGTACAGTCACATAATGAGAGACAGTCCTTGCCTGGAAGAGCTCACAATCTAAATAGACAAACTATAAGAGGGGAAACAAAGGCACAGAGTGGTGCAATGACTCACTCAAGATCACCACACAGCAGATCATCATCAGAAGGAGGAACAGAACCCAGAGTCCTAGTCCAGAGCTCTATTCAGTAGACAAGACTGCCCCTTCTTATTGTAATGCAGAGAAAACAAATGGGCCCAGACTTTGTACTCTCAGTACCAAATGTGTGAGATTGCCCTTTAAAATATCTGACCAAATCCCTCAAATGAAAGGTGCAACACCAAAAAAAAATAACAGAGGAGTGAACTTGAAATAATGAGTAGTGCTTTCCTGTAAGGTACAATTCTATGTCAAAGTCTGCCCCGACTTACCCTGTTCCCACAGAACCCTATTGAGTTCAGCATGCAAGCCAAGGCAGCATTGTCTGTGGAGTTCTCTTCAGTTTCTGTGATCTAGTATATCTGAGGTAAATGAATTACAGTAATAAGTTGTGAGAGTAAAATTTTCAAAAGTGCCTAAGTCCCATTTTCAAAAGAGAATTAGGCCCAGATCCTACTTAGGCATTAAATCAATGGGAACTAAGTGCTTAAATACCTTTAGGTCTCAGGCACTTAGGAGCAAATTACAATGAAACTTGGGCTCCTAAATGCCTAAGGACCAGATTCTTAAATGTATTTAGGTGTTTAAAGATGGAGCTAGGCCCTCAGTGAGATTTTTAAAAGCACATAGGCCGCATTGGGAGTTACTTCTGAAGTCACTTGTTAAAATGGAATGTATGGTTTCTAAGTCACATAGGCATTTTATTTTACACCTAGAAGAAAACACCAGGTTTGTATGACACAAAGATAAATGTGTATATCAAATCAGTCACTGCCCTGTGAAATGATGATGAAGAAAAGAAAAATAACTAAAACAACCAATAAGTTGACATTTTTCATGAGAACTTATGTTGCAAAATGATGAAAGCCAAATATATTATAAGTACCCATATTATTCAGAACACTTTCTGAATGGGGGGGGGGGAGTTGGGCGAGAATAGCTGGATTTCATCACAAAGCTGTTCATAATGAATATTCTTCCCTGCTCTAGTAATTTCTTTTTAATCACTTAAACTGCCCATACAACTTCAATAGGATATAATAGGTCACACTCTCAGCTGGTCCCAAATGGGCAATGTGCTGTTCACTTAATGGAGCTACCTTCTAGAGCTGAGCCGGAAACATGTTTCCCATCTTACGAGAATTTTTAAGATTTTTTAAAAGTTTTTTCACGCTGACCTAGCATGAAAAGTCAAAATCCGGACAACATTTTCTAACCAAAACATTGAAAGATGTCATATTGGGTCAACTGATAATTTTACAGCGTTTCATTTTGATGGTGACCTTTTTATTTTACATTTTTTTATTATAAATTAACTTAAATTTCTAAACAAAAGTGTCGTGACCTGAAAATGGAACTTTCATTTTGAAAATGTTGAAAAGGGACATTTTGAAACTTTTTTTCCAAAATCTTTTTTAAACAGGAAATTTGTCAAACTGTTTTGGTTTTGACAAATTGGCATTTTCTAGCAAATACATGTTATGTCAAAAATGTACTGACCAGCAACTTAACTCATTCTTTCTGGATATGTCCCACAGAATTGCAAGAAGCAACATACATGATCCAATGTGCAGATTCCCACAAGGTTAAATCCTATACCCGTTTTCAGCCATGTCGCCAGTATATAAGACCACTGAGGAAAATAGCGGGCTGGCTTATGCTCAAATGCCAAAAATATCCCAATGACACCCAGCTCTTTGTTTCAATCTCATCAAACTCACATACTGCAGTCAACTAACCAGCTTCCTACACAATTGGATGAAAAGCCGCTGGCTCAAGCTTCACCCAGACGAGAGTGAGATGATGCTGGTAGAAAGGGAAAAAACCCTTTGATGATCTGGCAGAGATTCCTCTATCTAGGACACTGTCCTCTGTTTGTCAAAGTCACACATGGTCTCTTGACTCCCTTCTATAACTAGATGCCCCAAGAGCAGCAGCATACTTTCTAGATGGAACTAGCATGAATACTATGTCCTTTCCTACAGTAGCCAGAGTGATCTATGCCGCACACTTCTAGGCTTACTCATTTTAATTCTTCCCTGAATGTTAGAGCTGGTTTTCAAGAGTATGATGTATTTGAAATATTACCAAACATTTTTGCCTTTTGATCATGGGAAGGTAGCAAGGACTCAAAATAAGTGTTCACCTAAGATACCAGCTCACCAAAGGCCAACCCCCAACTGATTTCATATCATTATTGGGTCATTTATTGGCATCTGACAAACTTGGCAGTAGTTAGCTGTCATACTGAAAACACGAAGGCTCCAAGAACAGCTCATTTCCAAGTAAGGTAGACCTTTTATTTATTTTCATGACATTTGTAAGGAATAGTGGGCATGGACCTACAGTAAAACATAAAAAAGTCCATTAATCTTGAATATAGCTAATGTTTTGCTGTAGCTCTGAAATGTTCAGGCACATGAAGGTTAGGATAATCTAACAGATCAGTAGATACATAACCCCTTTACTTTTCTCCAGGGTACAGTACAACCCCAGTTTGTGCCAAATAATAATTTAGAAACACCTGAGGCATTCAGATTAGACTTCATGCAAAGTCCTTTGAAGTAAATAAAAAGATTCCCATTGACTTCATTTGGGTTATAGCTGAACTCATACGTGGGATTCTGAATGAATGGCTGAATGAATGAAGTGATCTAGCACACCCTGCCCCTGGGTGATTTAACTCTGTTTCAAAAACCAGGATTTGTTCCTGGTTCATCTAATCATTTCCCCCCAAACTGATTAAAAATGTAACTAATTACCAGAAGTATCTATCAACACATCAAAAAAATTAATTCCTCCATTATTTCAGCTGTGTTGTTTTCGGGCAAGTGGGAAACAACATTGCATTGATTGCAAATTAGTGGCATTAATCAGTGTTGACATCATGAGACAGATCAAGGCAAATGGTTTTGAGAAAAAAAAAAAAAGAAACATCGTTGCAGGGACACACGTATCCTGTGACTATTCTTTAATTACAGAACTCCAGAAGACTTTCTGGTAATTACCATATAACTACATAGCAATGTGAAACATGTCCATATCAGTGTGGAATAGCAATTAGCCAATTCAAGTGTAATTCCCATATTGCAGCTCAGAAAGCAAATAAGTACATAAATCAATTGCATAAAAAATGTGTAATTACATATATTTATGTGTAAATTTCTTATTGCCATGTGTGGCTAGATTCACTGCTGGCACAACACAATGAACTTCAACTGATGACAGTGGTGAATTTATCCCATGACCTTTAGGAAGGCTCCCAATCCTGGTAAGAATTACACAGGTGCATATCTTTATACACTGTGAGTAGTTTGATGGAATTACTCACAGTACATAAAAGATAAGCATATATTTTAATTTTGCAGGATTAAGGCCTAGATAGGTAGCCTGTTGATTGTTCACTACAGTATGAAATATCTCCAGCAGAAATCACCTGCTTTGCTGCCCCATATACTAAATGCATTCTAATATTTCATTGATTTAACTGGAACATCAATAGACTGCAGATGGATTTCAGGACCAGCAATGTGGTGGTTACAGAGTCAACTGCTGTCATAGCTTAAAAAGTGTTTGCATGCAGAGTTGGCTGGAATATGGTGAAAGTTTTTCCATGAGAAGATTTTGGAAAAATTACCAAAAACAATTCAATGTTGATGTTTGGGTCCTGTAAGCTAAGATGTTCCAGTGGTTTTTAAATTTTGGGTGACACGCAATGTGGTTTAAGATAGGAAATCAAATTTAAAATAGTTTCCATAGCTGAACAATAACCTTTAATCAGTTTGCATTCAAAATGCAAAAATGAGTCCAAGCTTTATTCCTTCAGAACACAAGTGGAGTCAGATGAATCAGAATGTTTTGCTTACATAGACCATGGGTTCAAGGGAGATGAATAGGCATGTTGATGCAACTTGAAATCTTTCACCAGTTTAATAGATTGTCTGTTAAGTATCCAGGGTGATCATTGGTTTCTTCTTCAGCTGAAAGACAATAAAGACAAGATATGAGGGGAGTAATGAGCTGCATGAAAATAAAAGTCTTAAAACACAGGCAGTTCAGCTACTAAAGTGATAGAGAAAGCTGAGACATAACCCTATTATATGTAACTACCTGGGAAAAGCAGGGGGGTTTGTGATGTATGTAGTGATGATTATGTTTTCTGTGTTACTGGACTTTTAAATACATGAAGTTTGCCTGCTTGCTAGAAGCCAGGGCTATATATTATGTCAGGATGGAGGATCTTAAAGACAATGAAAGATACAACATTTCTAGGAAGGAGACAGCAGTGTATTTGTTCTTTCATTGGGCATTCTCTTTAATCAAAAATAAAAATCATCTAGGTTGAAACTGTATGCCTTATTCTATGACTCTGACTCTGTCATCCCCTAGCACAGTAGAAGAGCATGCTTTTCTGTATGGGGTTTTCATAAAAGCTGTAACCAGACTCTTCACACTAGAGTTAAATGATAAATCAGAAGAATCAGAAGAGTAAGTTTGGGGGTAGAGAGGAGGGGGAAATGCATGTTTTCTGTTGAGATTTGGGTCATTTAGCAGTGAAGGGGAAGGCTCTCACACCAATAGTAGATTGAAAAATGAAAATAAAAAAGCTGCATAAAATTCTGAAATTTCTAAGTATTTCCATTTCACAGGTTTCAGAATTTGACCCATTTTTCATTTTCTTGAAATTCTTTCCTCAAAGTTGTTTTGTTAAATTTTTTTGCTTATCTAAATGAAAACAAAAGTCTGTAAAGTTTATGATACAAATGGCAATGAAAAAATTATAGTGAAAAAGTCAATTGGTTGTTTGTGTGGGAAGATTTTTGTGTGTGAAAAACTTAGCTCTGATAGCAAGATTATGAAGGACAAGAAGAAGAATGAGCTAGATGAAAAGGGAGAGCATGAAGAGGAATAGAAAGAAACCAGGGGCCAGACCCGCAACTTGTAAAATGTCAGAACTAAAGCAGGGGTTCTCAAACTGGGGGTTGGGACTCCTCAGGGGGTTGCGAGGTCATTACACGGGGGGTCGCAAGCAGTCAACCTCCACCCCAAACCCCGCTTTGCCTCCAGCATTTATAATGGTGTTAAATATATTAAAAAGGGTGTTTAATTTATTTGGGGGGGGGGTCGCACTCAGAGGCTTGCGATATGAAAGGGGTCACCAGTAAAAAAAGTTTGACACCCACTGAGCTAAAGATCTGGCCCAGGGTCTGTACAGTGGAGTAGTGTAAGCTCATGGAAGATTTAAGATCAAGTAACTTTGAACTGGCTCTTTAAATGAAGGGGAAGCTTGGAGGGATGAGAGGTTAAATGGTTACATAAGCACTGTATCTTGACAGCTACATTTCTGTAACAATCTTTTGTGACACTAGAGCCATGTTCAAGTACGTTGACCACCACAATTAAATCCATGTTGGGTGACATTCACCTTTGTGCAAAGGGCCAACAGAAAACTTACACACCACTTAAGTCCCACTTTTTATTTTGAGGGCTTAAATGATTCATAGGTTTTGTACTTGCCCTGTACAAAGGAGTGAATTGGACTATAAGAGTCTTACCTTCCTTTCTGATTTCTTTGCAAAGAAGAAAAGTGCTTAGGGCTCAATTCTATAGGGGGCGGAGCGCTCTGGCCTTAGACTAGCACAACACGTATGTATGTGCTTCATAGAATCATAGAATCATAGAATC